CAGAAATAGCTTGACAAATCACCGCAAACCGCGCTTCAATATCTACATCCGGTACCTTGTAGCAGCCGAAGTTCGACTATAAAATACCTGCAAATATGAGTAAAAATCGGGGACTTTGCCCCCCCATATTTCAAAAACGGTGTGTATACTCAATCTGAAATTTTATTATGTGTAAAGGGTCACCCTATAGATGAAAAAATACCTCACACCGACCCCAATTTCGAGGGCCCGAAAACGGGCGAATTTTAGCCCTTTTTGTGCAAGGCTCTTTTGTGGAGTGCCAAAAAGTAGCTTACTTTGACCCAAGAACATCCCCCAAAATTGGTTTTCCTACGTGTAGCCGTCTAAAAAATAAACAGTCGTCCCGGGACTTTTGCCGCACCCTGTATGTACCCACGTGGGATCATTATGCTGTAAATTGTTCTGGAAGGTAGACTTGTTTTCCTACATTTTGGCCTTTTGGAACGTAGAAAAAATAATTTTGAAATTTCCTCAGCATGATTTGAAAATATTAACCTTGGGGTTAAAAGAGTCATTTTTTGGGGGGTTAATTCAGCCACTCACCAAGTCAAGATTTAACTGATTCTCTGAGTTTTATTTGTTTTCTGCAGAGATCATGGTCAGAAAATTTATCAGGAAAAAAGAGGTTCCAAGAATTCCTAGAAGAATTCTGCTTAAAGCCGTAAAATCGCATTCTTTTGGTGGGCATAAAATGCAGGGTTGAAAAAAAAAAATGTTTTCTGGAAAATATTCAAAACTTTCCAAAATTCCTATTTATGCCTCGAAGAGAAGTTTTGTAATTTTTTCTATATAAAAGTGGATTTTTATTTTCTTGTCATTCTGAATTTCTAAATATTCTTAAGGTTACCTTTTTTCAACACTCCTCTCATACCAACCAAAAGTTATCATGAATCATATTTTATCTATTTATTCATCCATTCACGTTTTTACAAGTGACCTCATTCATTTAAAAAATACCTACAAAAATAAAAAGAAAAAAGAAAAAGAAATTAATCATCAAGTCACTGCCAAATTTACATTAAATGATAAAAAAGAGAAACCCAACCCTTCCCCCTTCAATATTTCTTATAAATTTACTTTTTTTATAGTGCGGCATTGAAACATTTAAAGATGTATCTCACACAGGTTTGACAGATATCTATTTTAAGTTGATTAAAATGTGTCCAGAATGATTTACAATAGGTGACTCAGTTAACCGCAGGGGTGGCTCATTAAACCCAATGGTCTGCGTTCAGTGAGCCAAAAAGGTTACCCTGCTCAAATGCAGATTTTGACTTTACCGTATGCATACCTGCAAAAATTATTCCGGCATAAATTAAATAGCTGAGAGTATACATTCGATCGTTTTGTCATGTAATCAGACAAAAAAATTATGTAAATAAGATTTAGGAGCGTTTTCCTAAAACTGGCTCAAATAACCCCACTCTCCCCTAAGCGTTATACGTACGACAATGCAACATTACAAGAGCAGCCTAATTTAAAACTTCATAAATCTTTTGCTAAATGACGTTAGTCGATAATTACCTATTCAAAAGTATTTGTTGATCAAGAAGATAAGATAATCGACCGACACCTAGCAATCGTCCCGAAGCTGCACGCGTGGTTCAGGAATATAGCCCCCAGCTGACAATACCACTATTGTATCACCTTTAAATTGGATGTGAAATGAAAATTATTGAACCCAAACCTTGAACCTTAATGCTTAAATCAGCGCAAAGAGCGCAAAAAAAAAAAAAAAAAAAAAAAAAAAAAAAAAAAAAAGTAACAAAGTACTAAAAATAGATTTTGCAAGTCTTCAACACTCTCTTTAGTGTTTTAGATTTTCACTTTTTCTGCTAGTAGACTTGCTATTGGTAATTAATTTGAGAAAAAATTGGCCTATTCTTCAGTTCAAAACACGGTTGATAGGGCCATTTTTGGTTTTGGACTTACAATCTTTGAGCATTTTAGTTCTGTATATTTTTTTGGAAAATATCATCCTACTAACAATAAGTATCCGCTTGTTTGGCTTTCTCGGACGTGAGTAAAATTTGAGTTTTTGACTTGTTACAGGTTACACTGTTAGAAATCGAGAGATGAAATACGGTGCCGGAGTCTTTGTTGCGCCCGAAGACTCCGAGTAATATAATAGCAAAGTAAAATTAGCATAACAATAACAGAGTATAACACTCCGGAAAAAGAGTAGATTTCACTCCGTCCCAAGTACATTTTTCAAGGGAAAAATCGCGATAGGTACTTTGAAATTAAGTTGCGATTTTTTTAGGATTTTTTGACGATAAAATCGCTAGGATCAACATTTGAGCGATTATCTTTGATATTGTCGGAAAATCATCTCTTCGCAATCGCCCTCACTAAAATGGAAATTATACCTCAATGTATCACTATTATTTGTCCTATGAATTCGCGATAAATCGCCGTCGATGAAATCGAAATTTATCGCAATTTTTCATCGGACAATATTGCGATAATTCGACGTAGATAAAATCGCCATACATCTTCCAAGCAAACTGCAGCTCATCGTGATCACTGGTACTTGGGCAATTACCAAGTAAATCGCTTCATAAGGATAGATTCTGCTTCGCATTCATATCTCGTGGGGTTTCTGTTCGCTACATAGACTCAACCACAGTCTTTTACTCCAAGTGTTTAACAGCGTATATGTATACGACATAGGTTTGAACATAAATTGATAGAGGTTATATGATTGCAGGATGATCGGCTCTCTGAATTTCGCTGTGGCAAGCTTGTGCACTCTGATATGGATCTCCTTAGCGATGCCATCCTCTTGCGAGCCCCTGCCTATGGGTAACGACCACGCGCCCCGGACAGGACGGAACAAACCCTTCGGCTCGCCCGACGAGCTTCGCAGCTACCTCGATGAACTCGGCCAATACTTCGCCGTCGTCGGCAGACCCAGGTACTTTAAAGTACCTACACCAGTAATAGATTCATTTATAAAGGCTACAAGGGTGCGTCACTTTTGCATTATTCGGCATATCAATCGGACGTATTTCTGCTAAACGGAACCAGAGATAGGTGGGAAAGACGGGGTGTTTTCGTCAGTCGGGGGCTGTAAGAATGAATGGGAATTATAAAGGGCCAGTGACGTCATCGGCAGCGAAGTCGCCACCGCGCTCATTTTGTTGTCCTCTTTAACTCATGAGACCTATCCACGACGCTCTTTTGCCATGCTCACGACTCATGAGTGCTGCATTCACTTGGCGCTTGGTTCCGTTTGACCGAATGACAAATCCTGCTTTTCCATTTTCCCAAAGGGAATCATGCCCACTTTTACATTGTTTCTTATGCTGCTCTCTCTAGAGCACATCCCATATTTCTCATTCGTCTAAAATTCCATTCATCAGAAATGCGTCCAATTGGACTACTTTTTGCAATTAGGAACTACAACCTCTGGCTGATATCAGAAATGTCATAAGTACCATTAATTTCCTTATGCAGATAGGTGGTTATATGTATGAGTCAGAAATTATGGTCCTTATTGCAGAATGCGGTTCAATTTGCGATGAACAAGCAATGAACAACAACGGTTAATTAAAGTTTGAAAACAACAGAACGTAAAAGAATAGGGTACATTGATGTAACGCACCGTTGCCGTTGCACGCTATTTTCTAGGAATAGATTCCAAGATAGATCCCAAAACATAGATTCAGATTTTTTTTAATGACTGAGAGAAGTCATTCATTCCACATAATTTAATGAGCGACTTGCAAGGTACGAATACAAGTGTTCTGATACCTACCTCTTCCTCCTTTAAAATTCTACGTCAAAACTGATTTCGCGCAACAAAATTACTATCATTTGGAAACCTAACCAGGAAACAAACGTCTTCATTTAACATTGGCTACGAAATATTACAATTTTCCACCCACAAATACAACCAGAGTCTACCAGTGACGTGGCGTGCTTTGCTCGATTGATTTTTCATTTAAACCTATGAAATAGGATCGATCAACAAGGTGCTCGCAACGGACACCTTAATAATCGATTCATTACCATAGCTTCAAATAGGGAAATATCGACATTCGGCCATTCGCGCCTCGCCACCAAAAATTGCAAACTAAAAAGGTTTCGGCAGGCCTCTTAATCCGGTAGTGTGTTGTTAAAAATGTAAACAATGTGCAACAGCTGAGCCGAAGCGCCAATGTCATGAGGTTGCCATATTCTCATATCGCACAGACTGTTGCGTTAGAATTTGGTGTACGACTTAACATGATAGATTATATTCTTTTTATGAGCGGAAGATTTGGATTTATGCATAAAAAAAACGTGATTACCTTGATAAGAAGTTACTCGCAATAATTTTCATCACCCAGATTGTACTTTAAGTGAAATTTTGATGGGAAAACGTGTATAGTAAAGCACTTGCTGCTGCTTTGCTCAACATAAAAGACAAAGTGCCCTTTTAACGGGAAGAAATTGTCGATTTATAATTAGTCAAACAATTCCTATTTGTGCAATCGGTGCAACTCTAAAGCCTGTTACCAAGGTTGATAACCAATACAGATGAGTGACAAAGCATAATATTTGAAAATTTTCTTCCGGAATGTAAAGTGTTCTCAATAGCAATAAAATTGTTCTTTTTCTTATTTTTTTTTTAGATTCGGGAAACGTACATTGCTGCCTCTGCTAGCAGGACCATCGATGAAAGATCCATCGAATCATCGAATTGGATTAGGAGCAGCATTTCCACCTTTGGATAGCTCGGACGTTTATCGACTCGTTTATTCACCAGAAAATGACGTTTCGTAAAAAATATAAATATATCTAATAATTTAATTAGATTAGTAAATTGATAAAAATAAACGGAGTAAACAGGCAAAAGAAATGAGGATAAAAGAATAGATTCAACTCTCTATATTATATTTCTACAGTTAGAGGGCCGAATTTTTTAGTTGTTCTTTTTAGATAAATTTTCTTTCATTTATAGAAGGGCATCGTATGGTTTCAATCAGTGGCGAGAGCTTGCTTAGTGATGTATCGATTGATCTGACATTTTACGTATGAAAATGGATCGATAGATACCTACAAAGTTCGCAACAAACACCGTAATAATCGATTATTTATCATAGTTTCAAATGGGAAAATATCGGTATTTGATCATTCACGCCTCACTACTGGTTTGGTAACTAAGGGAAGTTTGAGGACGCCTTTAACATAGCATCACAGAAAGGATAATTTTTTGGAACCTGAAGTACGAGTACAGTTAAAAAGTAAAACTTTGGAATAAAGCATGCAAGAGATTTAAATGATTCAACAAAAATATCGTAAATATTGTAGGAGAGTTACTATTGGGAAATTTTCATAAGTATATAAAGGACGGTCTAGAGCTACCTCCAAGCTTGTCAAAATCGTATAATTTTTTGTTTATTCGTAATTTTTATTTTTAGTGTCGAATCATCTTCATCATTTGCAAGAATTTATTTCAAAAGTTATCCTCAATATATCACTCCAGGTCCTGAAAACTTTTCCTCTTTAGGTTGACATGTAAGAGGCAGTCACGATGGAAACGATATGCTGCCACCTTATGCCGCAATCACACGCTGAATTTAGCAGCTGAATGTGGAAGTCTATCATCACCCAACGGCTGAAATTTCGCAAATTCGAGTTATTTTCATCCAGATGTGTATCAAATCTACTCGAATAGTTCAGGCAAATCCAACATTAGTCCGATGGATGCTGAGAATAGTTGCTGAATTTTGCGCGCCACGACAAATTTACAATGAATAGGGCGGAACTGCCTTGAGGCTTACACTTCGCCCTTGTGAAAACATCAAGATTGAACATTCTTAAATCCAACATTAGTCCGATGGATGCTGAGAATAGTTGCTGAATTTTGCGCGCCACGCGCAAAATTCAGGCATCGGGCCGATGACTTCCACATTCAAGCCACATTCAGCTCCCATAGGTATTCAGCGTGTGATTGCGGCATTCAGGAAATGAGCCGTTTCAGAAAAAAACATGTTTTTGGCCCAGAATTGTTTGATTCTGACAACGATAGAAAAATATATTTTCACTAATGAAGAGATGTTTTTATTTATTTGGGTCTAAACTGGTATCTGTCTTCTTTTTTCTTTCTTTCTTTGAGTTTGTGTTTTTTACTTGTATGTTGCTTTCAACTGGAAAAAAACTGTCATCCAAGTTATTGCCTTCATGATATCACATCCAACTTCAAATTCTCCGTTTACAGAACGAAGTGTTAAATATAAATATAACTTTTTAAATTTTGTATTTTTTGTTCAAGTGTAAAAAATACGTACGTAATTTCTGAAGTAAAAATGAGATCAGCATACTGTCAAGGCATGACAAACGGTCGTCGAAACGCCTTCATTTACTCAGGTATGCAATTATTTTCTGTCATGCGCGCATTGCATTTGCCGATGCGCATGTCGTCACCTTCCAGGCAAAGTATCACAAGCGCCAACCGACGTTTCAAAATTTCCGCCGCCATTTCATTTTTTTACTGAGAAATCGTTGGTTGAATCTGTTCGAAAATTTCACTAAATTTTATCGGCAGCACAAAGAAAATTCGGTGTAATTTTCGGACAGCTTCGTTGAACAATTTCTCTGTAAAAAAATATAATGGCGGCTGAAATTTTTAAACGTCGCATGGCGCTTTTGATACTTTGCCTGGAAGGTGACGATGTCTTTAATCAGATTATACAGGGTGTCCCACAAGTCCGCATCCCCCCCCCCATTGTAACTTTTGAACGGTTAGAGATAGAAAAACGGAACTTTGGGAATGTTTCTACCTGAAAAGGGACCATCTTCTAGGAGGGTCAAAATTGTTGTCCCCCACTCAGGGGGGGCGGGGGCCCCCAACTTTGTTTTTCAAAGGTTACCCCTATCTTGTGGTACATCATTCGAAAGAGCGTGAAAAAATAAGAATTTTGACGCAAACTGTAGATCAATATCTTAATTTTTGACCGATTTATGATAGATCAAAGGTCAAATTTGACCTATTTTCAAAAAATCATAACTCCGGTTCAAATTATCATAAAGAAAAAAAAAAACGGGAAAATTTACCAAAGTGGAAGCACTTTTAATTAAAAATCACAGAAATTACTTCAAAATAATTTTTAGAGGGGGATTCGGACCCCCAAATATGTCATACGTCAAAGGTCATACGATTTTCCCGCGAAATGAGCCAATTTCCCCTTACTTTGCGTCAACATTATCTTGGTAAGTTCAAAATTAGTTCAACAATGCGTTTTCAAGTCCTCGAATTTTGATCAAAGTTTTAAAAAAAAAACCGAAATTTAAATGGTTGAATTGAATCACCTTAAATTTCGCTTTTTGAACTTTGCCCGAACTGACTAGTTAAAAATATAAAGATTTTTCGATTCTGAAAAACAAAATGTTCGTTTAGGCACATAGTGTATTGTATGGAGTACTGTTGCTATTCGACCCTTGTCTTCAGGTCAAAATTGTTACAAGGATGTCCCTTGCAAGAGACGATTTTTTTTTGTAATTTCTCCCAATTTTTTCTCCGTTATATAATTGAATTGCTTGTCAAATTCTGAGGTCAATTATATTTAATTGTAACTTATACATTTCTTTTTTTCCCTTCCTTTCATATTTTGTATGGAGAGGTTTCGTTGATTTCTTCGGATTTCGAATACCGTAACTTCTCTTCTATTCGGCCGATTTTAATGAATGAGACCTTTTTTAATTCGTCTTTTAACGGAGAGTAAGGAAAACATTTCTAAGTACACGCGAAACAATTTTTTTTGAAAATCTGACGAATCCTAGCGTGACGGTGAAATGGTTCATCAAGCGTAAAAGGGTCCGGGTCGGGTCGCTCGGAGGACAATAGAAACTGCCTCGGTCTCGAGACGGATGTCCGGTGTGCGGGGAGGAGAAGGGTAAGTGGATTTCTGTAAAAGCAAATTGAATTCTGTACGTGCTATGGTTAGCACATGGTCTAATGAGTTCTGAGGCTCATCACAGATTGCACTTACGTTTGGCCGGGCTGGCCCTGGCTATCAGAGCAGTGGTACCAAATTTTGAAAAGCATAACAGGGGTATAGATATCTGTCAATGCAACGTTTTAAACAAAACGAAGGAGTGCAATTCTCATTCGAAGAGTGCCGAACTGCTCAGCCATCCTCGAATCAGTTCGTTTGCTTCTGCTTATATATGCATATTTTAAATTAGCGCGGCGCATTCTGTGATGACCCTGATTAGGGGTCGATAGGGGACGTAGCTGGAGCGTCGCGACGTCAGCCGACGGGACGTCTCTAAAGAGAGATATCTCGAGCTGACGTCACCAAACTCCAGGGGGACTGTTGCGTCGGACAGTGGTCGCCCGTGGTCTCTCTATGGAGAGAGATCTCGTGCAGACCACCTACACAACACAACAGTGGGTGCTCTTTGGGGGGCAGTCGTTGACCTCCCAAAAAACGAAAGACGTAGTCAATAAAGAGAGAAAAGGTCTGTCTCTGACTGAATTTCGGTATATTGTTTGAGTTGGCTATTCTATCAGATGAGAGGGCTGAAATTTCTAGACCTGAGAGTCGACAGCTCGGGCACCAACGAATAATTTGGGAGTCAGCCATCAAAAATTTGGGAGCTATCCCAAAATCAGTAACAGGAACCACGCATGCAAAAACTCAGAAAGAACAATTTTCCTGGAAAGATCAAAGAAATTACAGCAAAACTGGCCCATCCTCTCAAAATAAAGGCTACACAGAGGTACTCAACCACACACATAAGCAGGACAGAGATTATTACGCGAATTTAAGCCAAAATCATAATAACCTCCCTCAGCGCCTAGGAGATAGGCAACCCCAAATACACCAAAAAGCAGACCAATATTGGTACGATTACTCTCACCAGTCCGACACGTCTTTCGTTTTTTGGGAGGTCAGCGACTGCCCCCCAAAGAGCACCCACTGTTGTGTTGTGTAGGTGGTCTGCACGAGATCTCTCTCCATAGAGAGACCACGGGCGACCACTGTCCGACGCAACAGTCCCCCTGGAGTTTGGTGACGTCAGCTCGAGATATCTCTCTTTAGAGACGTCCCGTCGGCTGACGTCGCGACGCTCCAGCTACGTCCCCTATCGACCCCTAATCAGGGTCATCACAATTCTTAGGTTTTTTTTTTAAAAAAAAACAAGTAACGTAGACTCTTGGTATTCATTGCACATAAACTAGAAAGCCCCAGAATGAGAAAAAACTTTAAATCATAATTATTAACGGATAAGTAAACTTTTTACACGCTTTGGAAAATCTCAGAAGTTCGCGGTAGTCACTTTTCGGTAAGGAACTAAGGGACTCGGTTATTGTATCGAGTGGGGGGTCGAAACGATCGCAAAGGCGGTGTACTACGTATACGCGCCAAAATGACACCCAAAGGTGTTATAAAAAAGACGGATCCAAGAAACTTTGCTTCACAACAAGGAGGTATCCACTTCATAACTAAGCATTGAATGGATTACATATTGCAATTTGGAACCACTATTTCTGGTCCATTTTAGAAACAGCATACATGCTTTTGGTTTCCCTTTGCAGATATGTGCTTTTATTGGAAAGTCAGAGGTAATGGTTCCTTATTGCAAAAAGTAATCTAAATCATTAACAAAAGGGGACTTCATTTGGTGAAATAACAGTCTTCTTGCAAAAATGAGATGGTATAAACCCCAAAAGGCCCAAAAACTTGGGTAAAGAGACTCCGGGCAAGTCAACATCCTCTGGTCAAAAATCTCCAAAAACTCTTCTTTGTTCCCCTCTCCAGTGGAAAAAGGAAAAATCACACTACAATAGCTTCCATTTCCGTCGTAGAGTACCCCAAGCGGACCAAAGAACGGAACTCTTAGTCGTTAACACATTTATTTAACAAAATCTCCGGGAGGTCACTGACTGGCTACAGGCTGCTAGACCCTCATTGGATCAAAACGCATACCGTACCATTTTGGCGCGTATACGTAGTATACCGCCTTTGCGATCGTTTCGAACCCTGCTCGATACAATAACCGAGTCCCTTTGTGCCTTACCGAAAAGTGACTACCGCTAACTTCTGAGATTTTCCAAAGCGTGTAAAAAGTTTATTTATCCGTCAATATTTATGATTTAAAGTTGTTTCTCATTCTGGGGCTTTCTAGTTTATGTGCAGTGAATACCAAGAGTCTACGTTATTTTGTTTTTTTTAAAAAAAGCCTGAGAATACTCA